AGAAATTGGCTTATTTGGTGTGTCATGATGTTAAGTTTACATTAGTATTACTATTATTATAGTATTCTACTACTTATAGTATGAGAGGAATGAGGAAAGCATAGCAGTCAAGATACAGACATCAAAATGACTACTCAACAGAAATAGCATTACTATTAAAATAGCAACAAGTTTAGAAATTAGAAACAACCATATAAAAGAATAACTTTTTTAATTTACTTCCTACTACACAGCACAATATGCATTAATGGCCCTTGGTGGGTCGACCCCTGACACCTTTAAAGGAGGGGGCGCTGATTGGAGTTTCCATGGAAACCCCGTGCCTGAGCTCGAAACAAGGACATTGACCTGGCACTTTTTTCACTGTGACCTAACATGCAGAAATGGGCTGTATCAGCCAGGTGGGAGCACTCCCACATGCATGAGCAAGCAGTCACACAGCAGTAGTTAGCTGGTACAGCTTACAGCTTGCCAGGTCCAAATCCTGCTATTGAGCCCCAACATGGTGGCATTTTGGGAGTGAATGATAGCATCATCCTCCACTATGGGATTTCCAATGGATATCACGCTCAAGAGCGGAGAGAATTGACACAAAAATAATTAAATAAATAAATAAATAAGTTATGAGAAAAAAAAAAAAAAAAAAAAAAAAAAAAAACGAGGGAGAGAGTGAGAGCAAGATGCTGAAGTTGGTGACAAGAAGACTCGATGATAAGATGGTGCTGACAAGACCACGTGCATCAGGCAGTACGCATGCGCGTTTCCCACCCAAGCCATTAACTCTGTTTAAAGCAGAGCTTTAAACAATTATATTAAATAATACTATGAGTATGCATTCTTAATTAAGAGTAACATTAGATGCATCTTCTTACCTGATCCTGATGAAATGGTTCACAGCAGTCACCATCAAGGTTAAATGCCTCAATAAATAAGTCAGTATTACTACAGTTTGGCATGATTGTAGTCTCTTTCGATAGACGAGTAAGAAATGTGTCATTTATAAAGCTAAGAAGAGCATCCCAATCATCAGAACACATTTGTGTTGATACATTAGTACAAGCATCAGAACAGAGAAACCTTGGAACTTGTATAGTACCATTGTAGCCACATGGTAGATAATAGAGCATGCAGAGTGCATTGACAACAGGCTCATAGCACTGTGGCGTGAAGGTAAAAAATACAGTAATGTACTCCATCAAGTATCTAATGTATGGCTGGCCTAATAATCGAGCATTAGGAGTATAGACATAATGCAAGCTTGTATAAATATTGTCACACACTGATGAACTCAACCAAGGATTGTCTATGTAAGGTTCACATCTTCCTTGAGTACTAATGCAAAAATAAAATATTAATAATCATTAGGTAGTAGATCTAATAGGATTATGTACCTCATTGTATCCCATAACTCATTATCCAACTTGGTGCTACACAATGTTTCATTATTAGATGGATCTAACAAAGAAATTGTTACATAAAGGAAAGTACTAACAAACCTATGTCCAAGCATATGATACCGACATCATCACTGTGGTCACAGACACTGTCTCCTATTACACTATGAACACAATGCAATAATGATCTCTCAAATCCTCGGCATGTAACAAATTCTAAAAATACACTTCCATTGCCTCGTCCAAAAGCATAACTGAACCGATACACAGCATCTTAATTATAAATCAAAAAATATGATATTTAAATGTCATTTAAGGAAAATTATTATTATTATTATTATACCTGTATTAGAATATCCTAACAGTCCACATGCAAAATCAGCCATAATATTAGTCCATCCATAATCACAAACTGTCCCCCAAGTATTGTTATAGCATATCTCTAGACGTCCTTCATTGGGAACTCTTCCATTGACTAGGCGTAGCTGACCATCATAACAAACTAATGAAACAAACAATCAAACACTCCATTACAAACATTTCCATAGTGAAAGCTAAGGAGAATCAATATAAGTGCAGCATATTACCTGATAACAAACATATTACACCAACAGCATCTTGATGAGTGCAATCAGTGCCTTGACTCAAGCTAGTCAAGTTGTGTTCGCATTGAAGTAAAGTATTCTCAAACCCAATGCAATTCACACCATTCACAAATATATCCCCATTTCCTCCACCAAAAAATGAGTAAACATCACCTTAATTAGAGGAGGAAAGGGAAACAAGACACGCAAATTATTGTATACAGAGATGCATACCAGTAGTATTGTATCCTAATTGTTTACATACAACATCAGCACTAGCATCAGTCCAATTTCTATCACAAACAGTTCCCCAGGTATTGTCAATGCAAATTTCTACACGTCCTTCATTAGGAAAAGTACCATTAATGAGACGAAGATCACCATATGAACAATCTATAAAAAGAATGGGCTGTTATTTAGTTCGTGGCATTGTCATTGTCAGGTTAGAATAAAACTCATAGCTGGAAAAATTTGTACAAAATATAAGTCTTAAAGGCTATTTGTCACATTACTTAAGCACTTTACGCCAATATCTTCAGCATGTCTACAGTTATGTGTTCCAATGATATTATGTTTACAGTGGAGCAGTGATGATTCAAATCCACCACACTCAACATCATCTAAAAATATTTGACCATATCCAGCACCAAAATATTCACTCATAGAACCTATTTATAGTAGAATATAAACATATTAATGAATCTAATAAACTAGATCTATTACCATCAGCTGAGTATCCTAGTTGCCTGCAGACAACTTCAGCATTACTATCAGTCCAGCGATCATCACAAACTGTCCCCCAGGTATTGTTAATGCATATCTCAAGAAGACCTTCATTAGGAGCAGTTCCATTGACCAAATGAATCTGACCATAAGAGCAACCAGCAGAGGAGCCTGTTGTAATCAAATTAAGAATTATTAAAGGCCTAATTCAATATTATTTTACCATGGACTAATGGAAGAAAAACTAGTAGTAGTAGCATAAACATTGCAGCCATCAGTGTCAACTAGATTGATATTGAACTAGATTTATAATATCAGCACACTAGTTTTAAATACTAGGCAGAGGTCTGGAGGGCATCAATTAAAATAGGTAGTTGTTATTAGATTAAATCCACAATTTCCTCATGTACTGTACTATGATTGACCTATCATGACCTATTAGTAACGCGGTAGCATTACAGTTACTAAATAGGATTCACCTCAAAACAATATGGCTGCCACGACTTTTGCAGCCTTGCTAAGTAGGGTTTTCATTTCGTATTTCTGTTGGTTGTTCGAAATCCTACTTGTCCTTGTTTCTGCTACTTTTTTATGAAATTGCTCTAGAATCCTACTCCATCTTTTTAAAAAATTTTTATGTTCTTGGTAATTGGTATGCTAGCAATGTTCTTCAATAAAATCTATTTTTTAATGATACAAAAATAGCCACCATAATCTGCACACGTGCGCCCCTCTAAAACTTTTATTCGACTTTACATACCAGTATATGCTGTTAGATCTAATGTGATGTAATAAGTGCCAATCTTTATTCCATATGTATTGTACTTGTACATTAATTTATATCAAAAAAGAATGTGCAAATAAAATAAATTAAAAAACACCAGTAAGCAATAAAGAGTTAGTCAGCTTTAAGAAATAAGGGGATGCCCAGCCCTCAGAAATTAACAATGATTTCTAAAAGCAATGCAATATTAAGTCAATGTTTAAAAGGGGGGAAGGTTTAAAAAAGCAGGATATAAAATTTTTGTAAATGTCACACACATTATGAAATGATATCGAAAACTTCAAAACTCAAGAATGTTTGAAATGTTAATTGTAATCATCATCAGATACTAGGGATGCATTATCACCATCAAAAAAGTCTATTTCAATTTTCTCTACAAGGTGCTTGCGTCTTGTAGAAAGATGACGTTCAAAACGAATGCTATTGAACTCAGAAATCATAAATTCATCATCAGCCGAAAGTGCTTCATCTTCGAGAATTGTCTTGTTTCCAAATATTAAGCTTCCATTCTGTTTTTCAACCTCAAGATGCATACTTTCATTTCCATTACTAAAAATTCCGTTTCCATTCTTGTGTGGTTTTTTTTCCACTGGTGATGTGACTATAACATTTGAGCTTTTAGTTTTAGCAGCTGTTGATGTCAAAGATGTCTTTCCCTTCCTCACTCTCCTGGGACAGAGTAGCGATATCCAAGTATTTCTTGAGTCACTGCTAAGAATGACAAAGAAGAAGAAAATGAAGAAACCTTGGAAGGTATTGAAGAAAGCAAAAAAGAACTGAACTATGAATGAGACGTTTGGCTCAGAAATGAAAGTGAAGACAGCAAAAAGCCACGTCAAACCAAACAGTATCAGGATACCAGAATAAGATAGTATCATTCGTAATACTTCAGATTTTGTGAGTGAAGACTTTTTCATTCTTTTGTTCTTGTCAACAGTATGAAGGAAAGAAACACGAATAATGAGTACAAATATAACACCATTGAAGACAAGTATGATGAGAACTGGGAGTAGAAAAGCAACAAGAAAGGGTGTCATATCATTAATGAAACAACTATAGAAAAA